AGAGTTATTAGACCTTTAAAGGCAAGGACAGCATCAACAAATGAGTGGATGAGGGACATGACTGATAATGGGTTTCATGAGTACCATGCTAATATCATAAGACAAGCATTGCTAAAGGTCTCCGATATTAAAATGTCCAGTGCTTCAATTGCAGGAAATTCGGTCATTTGTAAAGAGAGCATGACCAAGCTTCTAAAATTCTTAAATCTCAAAATTCCTGGTTCATTAACTGCAAAAAATTCAGTACTTTCCACAGGAGAGGGGAGGGAGTGAATGTGCCTTTTCTAAGAGCAATGGTTTTCCTAAACATCAAGCAGAAAGAATGACTAGGCTTCCTAAGGTGTTCCAGTGTTGTGGCAATGGATACAATTGGGGCAATAAAGGTACTTCCAAGAGAGAGATGCAAGGTAATATTTTTGCCATTGGGAAACAAAATGGGAGCCTAGCAGCTTGAGGCCTCACAGCAAAAAATACTAGCCATTTCCCTCTTGTCAGCCAGGAAACAAGTGGCCAGGAAAAACCGCATCTCAGCACTGGCAACCCCATGCACACTACTTTAGACAGTACTTCTCTAGATTAATCTCTTATCCTACCTCCAAACACTCAGGGTCATAAAACAACCCGACAAGTTATGGCCCTTCGCCCTCAGGGACAGTAGTGACGATCTCGGCAAGGAATGGATGGACTGTTCAAGGATCCACTGTGCGTCCAGGCATTATAGATTGGGAGTTTCAAAGGAGAAATTAAAATTTTGGCCTATGTAAAAAATACAGAGATGCAAATTAATGCAGGTGATAATATTGCTCAGCTGCTACTGCTTCCCTGCATTAATGGCAAAGCTTCTCCAGTAGAAAGAACAGGGGGATTAGCAGTACTGGAAAAACATGTGTTCTGGCAAATAGTGGTTAATGATCAGAGGCGAAAATTAAAACTGCAAATAAATGGTGTTGAAATAGAAGGATTGGTGGATGCAGGAGCTGAGGTAACTATAATTTCCCAAAAATCTTGGAATTCAGAATGGCCACATCAAAAGGTTACACACCATTTCTTGGCATTGGAAAGTTGTTGCAGATGAAGCAAAGTGTGCGATGGGTTAAATGTTTGGAACCAGAAAGTTAAAAAGGAAAGCTAAGACCCTATGTGGCTGACACACCCATAATTTGTGAAGAAGGGATTTTTACAAGAGTGGAACACTCAGATTAATATTCCTGCAATCCCAGAGACAGCTCCCGATAAAATTAGGGGGAATGGTGGATGCTCCTGGGGAAGGTATTGATATGTTTCATCAAAATAAAAAAAGTTACAAGCTGTTCACACTGTCCAAACACAGGGCATCACAGGGATTGAGTTTCAAATTTGTAAGGAGGACCCTGCTCAAAACCCGTGGCCCAGCCCTTAAAATGGTTGAATGACAAACCTACATGGGTATATAAACAGCCCTTAACTAAGTAAAAACTATAGGTACTTGGACAGCTGGTACAAGAGAAGCTAGAGGTCCAGCACGGAGAAAAGCCTATGGGACTTCCCCATACTTATTATAAAAAAATAAAAAAGAAAGAAAAGAAAAGAAAAGAAAAGAAAAGTAAAGTAAAGTAAAGTAAAGTAAAGTAAAGAAAAGAAAAGAAAAGAAAAGAAATCAGGGAAATATGGAGGAGGTTAACAGATCTAAGATTATAAGATTAGTGAATAGTTATTCAACCAATGGGTCTGTCACAGCCTAGAAATCATTTACCTTCTTTATTACCTAAGTCATGACCTGTGATAGTAATTTAAAAGATTGTTTGTTGGTTGGTTGGTTGTTGGTTTTTTATCCCATTGCATGAGCAGGATAAGGAAAGGTTTGCTTTCACACTACCTACTTATAATAATAGTAGACTGGTAAAAAGATATCAGTGGAAAATTCTTCCACAGGGAATGTCAAATAGTCCAGCTCTATGTCAATATTTTGTGCTACAACTGCTAGAAAATAATTTATAGGCAACTTACTCTACCCATTATCTCATCACATGAATGATATACTGTTGGCTGATTCTAATGTACATACTTTAGAGAAAATATCTAAGGGAACACAAAGAATTCTGCTGTGGTGGGGTTAAAATCGCTGCTGAAAATTTACAGAGAGGACAATCTATGAACTATTTGGGTTATAACCTAAGTCAACAGAAAATTCAACCACAACTACGAGGGCTGGGGTGAGACAATGTCCCAAGGGTCTCCTGAGACATGGGAACTCAGGAACTGTGAGACTCTTCTGGTAAGGCAGTGGTCTGATGTTCCCAGGTAGCAGCTACCTCTGAGAGAAATGAAACCTCTGATCTCAGGGATCCTTCGAGCTCAAGGCTCAAGGATTTGTCAGTTTGCCTGCTCAGAGATTGTTGGAGTTTTTTTCCAGACTTTTTAACCTCAAATTAGCATAATCTGGGATGAGTCCTGCTAGGGGCTAGAGATGACAGTTACAGAGGTCTCAGGAGGAGCTGAGCTGCTGAGCTTTCTCAAGCAGGGCCCTGGCCACTTTCTGCCTTGAGGGGTTATAAAAATTACAGTCTACGTCAGGGAAGCCTTTCCCTGCAGCATGACTAGCCAACAGAAACTGAAGAGGAGGCGCTGCCATTGTGGGCAGCTCCTATGAGGGCAGTAGGCTGAAGCAGGAACCGTCATCACAGACAGCTCCCAAGGCAGCCTTCGCCAAGGATCAGCCAAGTTGTTCAAATGAGACAGACATGAAGTGTAATCAACTGGGCCTGATTTGTAATCACACACTTTCTTCCTGGAGCTACTTCCTTGCATGAATCACTTATGTGTGACAAAAATCCATGACTGGAGCACCATAAAGAAGAGCTTTACCTGACCCCTGGCTGATGGAGACACGGCCCATCACAGCAGGGGAAGCACAGAAAGTGGCTCAAAGCTGAGAGGGTGCAGAGGGTTCTCCCATCTGGGAAGACTGAAATGCAGAGACGGGACAAGCCAGGCTATAAACGGCAGAGATTGCCCAGAAACCCACTTCCTCCAGCTAGTCCCTACCTCCTTCTCCAGGTTCCAAACCTCCAAAAGCAGTGTCACCAGCTGGGAATCAAGTGTTCAAAAGCCTGATCCTATGGGAGACACTTTACATTCAAACCCTACATTCTGGTTTGGTTTGGTTTGGTTTGGTTTGGTTTGGTTTGGTTTGGTTTG